TTTTTGGATCTGTTTTCGTTTTTGTTTTTCGCATTTTCATTGCGGCCCTTCAATTCCCGCCACAGCGTGAAAGTCCAGTACAGATTGTCGGCGGCCCAATAACTGGACCAGCCGACCGTTTCGCTGCCGCTCGATGAAACCCCGCTGTCGGCCGCCCTCTACACCGTGGGGCCTTGGTGCAGTACCCAGGGACTTTGCAAGATCGGTGAGTTGGGGCGGACGACCTCCGAAAAACGCTCCCCTAACTCACCGGTACCGGGGGTTTTCGATGGCGGGGGGACCTGTGGTTTAAACCACCAGTACTTGGCCCAGCTATCGGCCGCGGAAAAAAATAGAGTAGAAACGTTTCTAGTTGGATGAATTTGGGCGCTCCTGTAGTGGCCCGTACGTTTCCGAAACGCTACGCGACTTTAGGAAGTACTGGTGGTTTAACCTAGCCCAAAGGGGCATTGATCTTGAGCTTACCTGTGGAAGATGCGGATGGGCCTTCGAATCCACTGTTCACTTGTGGTACGATTGCCCTGCATCTCTTCGAATATGGGAATGGTGGCGGGCTTTCTGGGAGGAAACTTCTGATAAGAAGTTAATCTGGGACTGCGAATGGGTGCTTTTGGGTGGGGTTCCCGATGCACTGGACCTTGACAAAGGTTGGGGATACATGGCTCAAGCAGCCCGAGCAGTTGGCTGTGCTGTGATTTGGAAAGAAAGGAACCTGCGAATTTTTGAGAACAGGGAAATGACCAACAAGGAGATTCGAATGTTGTTGGCCTGTGGCAATTTTTTTAGGGGCAAGGATTTCAGGACAGCCGTCTTGGTTTGGCCATCTCTGTTCCTAGATCTTTTCTGGCCCCCGTTCAATGGCGAGCCTAGGCTTGTAAGCTAAACTGGCCGACGCTGCATAACACCGGGTTGAATTGTGAGGTCCCCGGTCTCGGTTTGAACTGTTATAATCGGAAAAAAAAAAAAAAAAAAAAAAATCTTCATCAAACGAGAAAAGCGGCGAGTGCACCGTTGGCCCAAAAGTGGGTAGACACCCTCTCCTATTCATAACAGCTGATGCATTTCGCCGCATTCTGCGTGACGATGCACTCGTCCTTTTCCTCGTTCCACGACAGCTGAGGCCGGRGGCCAAGTCCCACTACGGGACTTGCTCCAGGGTGTTTGGCTATGTGGGGGTGACTCAATGCTACGCCACTGCCTGGGGCTAGGTCCCACTTGCACGAATTAAGAGATACTGACCGTAGATAGCAAAGGTCAACGGGCGGAATCTCCTGATTTGCGCAAGTCGGACCTTGCCCCCACTCGCGCGAATTAGGAGATTTCGGCCATTGATCTTTGCTGAACGGTCAATATCTCTTAATTCGTGCAAATAGGACCTAGCCCCTGGGCAGGGCCTCCTGGTCTACACAGGGTGCGGCAGTGCGGAGGGTGGAGGAAGCGAAGGGGCAAATCTCCCGACCGGAAAGTCGCACACATCTACCGCCGGTCGCATATCGACAACGCACGTGAGCGCGCCACAACTGCGCGCCACCACTCTCGTGGACACGAAACGCGTCTGCGTGACGTGCTTTACCGGGAGGAGAGTGGGTCGGAGAGGGAATAGGAAACGACAAGACTGCTGGCGGGAGGACGGTGGCTATGGCAGCGATGGCAGCGATGACGACGATGACGGCATCTGTGATCGCGAATGGCCTCTTTGAGCCCATTGGCAAATTAAGTCGGGACTCGACATGCCAGAGCTTTTCATCCACTTCCAGCTTTTACCGGCGGTCAACGACTGWGCATCCCTTCTCTCGAATTAAGTCATCGTCCTTGTCGCCATGGCCGTCAACATCAAGCTCACATTCCGACATGCCGTCTTCCAGAGGTGTGTGTTTTTCCAATTCAGGCTCCTTTTCCTTCTCCTCCTCTTCCTCCTTTTCCTCCTTTTCCTCCTTTTCCTCCTCTTCCTCCTCTTCCCCCTCTTCCTCCTCTCTCTGAGCTTGTCGGGGAATTGCAGCGCTGGAAGCGTGGCTATGGTGGTTTTGGAATGGTGGAAAGGAGGCCCAGTGAAGTGGCTGGTGGTTCTGCCACCAACCCAAAACGTCCATAGCGACGCTTCCGGGGCGGGCCGGCTATGGAGGTTTTGGCTGGGTGGATGCCCGGCTATGGAGGTTTGGGCTGGGTGGATGCCCGGCTATGGAGGTTTTGGCTGGGTGGATGCCCGGCTATGGAGGTCTTGGGTTGGTGGAAAGGCATCCAGCGGAAACATGTGGGGGAACGTGCGCCCGGAAGCGTGGCTATGGAGGTTCTGCCCGTGCAGATGCTTTCTTTTTTTTTTTTTTTTTTTTTTTTTTTTTTTTCTGTTGAGCATGATTGCATAGTGATTAACCTGCCTATCACTATTCTTCTTCTTCTTCTTCTTCTTCTTCCTCCGTTTCCAGAAAAAAAAAAGGTTAAAAAACGTCTTCTCACTKTCTTTAAGTGCAAGCCTCCAGGTTACTTCATTTTCTGCCTTGTTGTTTTTAAATTTAAAATAAGAATTTGGACCGTTTTTCAGAAAAAAAAAAGGAAGCGCTCGAAAAATTGTGCGTGTCTGCTTTGAATGCGCAGGAGGGACCATACTACTAGTAATACTACTCTTCTCTGTACTGTTCTTTTTTTTTTGTTGTTTGAAATTTTGATGAATTTTGCAAGGTGTGAAAAGCCTAGCGACTTTGAGCAAATGTACAACTGGCAAAAAAAAAAAAAAAAAAAAAAAACGAAACAGCTGGCAAACAGAAAAGAAGGCCACTTGGCTGAATTATAAACACGTGTAACCTTAATTAGGAAACAAAGCATGAGTTGTAATCCTGATGGAATCAGATGAAGACAACAACGTTTTTTWTWTTTTTTATTTTTTTTATTAAAGGTCCYGCCGAAGGCCTCCGAAATATTTGTTGAAATGCAAATCCTTTTCTCCCAATAAAAAAAATAAAAGCAAAAGATACTGTTGGTAAACGGATCGTGAGTTTGAATCCTGATGGAACCAGATGAACAAGATCCAAAAAAACAAAAAAACAAAAAAAAGGTTGCTGTTGATAAACAGATCGTGAGTTTGAATCCTGATGGAACCAGATGAACAAGATTAAAAAAAAAAAAAAAAAGGGCGGAAAGGAAAAGACGAACACAGAGGGGACATTTCGGTGCATCCAGTCCTGTTTGAAGGCGGTTTCGTTTTTTTTTTTTTTTTGCCTTTCTTTTTTTCTTTTCTACCCTCCTCCGTTCCCTTGATTTGTTTGTTTCTTTTGTCCACACCCACACATTGCCGTTCTTTGGCTGCTGTGGTGTTTTGTTTTTCTTTGTTGTTCGTTTTGTTTTTACGTTTTCTGTGTGTAGACAAACAAAAACCACATCGTGAGTTCGACTCCTTGGATGCACCCATCAGCTATGGAAGTGTGATATTGCTTTGCTCCTTATCGTCCACACGATTTCACCCATCTGATGGTGATGGTGATGGTGATGGTGATGGTGCTATCTCTGTAGCTTTCAAACTGAGAAACGTTTTCTTCATCTCTAAAGAAGAGAAGAAGACGACGACTACGAAGAAGACGAAGAGGAAGAAGAAGAAGAAGAAGAAGAAGAGGAAGAAGAAGAAGAAGAGGAAGAAAAGTTGGCCATGATCTTGAAAGTGGCGGCTTCTGAGATATGTGCACACTTTCTGAAGGAGATCTTTTTCGTCATCCTCAGGGTCAACAGTCAAAGTCAAAGTCAAAGTCAAAGTCGATGAAGAAGGGGGGCCCCTCGTCAAGCTTCCGTCTGCCAAGAGGCTGGTTGTCAGCTTGGGTGCAACTTTGGCTGTGCTTCTCAGTGGCATCCCGCAAGAGGTAACATCACCTCCACCCTGCTCCTCCTCCTCCTCCTCCTCCTCCTGCTTTTCCTTCTTCTATCCTGTCATCATCCCATGATTGCCCTCGAACTCACGATCTCTTCCCGCTGCAGTCACAATCCTAGGTTCCATGAAGTTTCTTCGTTTCTTTCTTCGGCTTTTTTTTTTTTTTTTTTTTTTTTTTTTTTTTTTGTTTTTTTTTTTGTGTGTGTTTTTTTTTTTTTTTGTGTCGGTGTGTTTGTGTTTGTGTGTGTGTGTGTGTGTGTGTGTGTGTGTGTGTGTGTGTTTCATTTTTAAAAAATCCTTAAACCACCAGTTAATCCCACGAGCCTAAGTTGACGAAGCTACCACCTTCAAGTCTCGCGAGACTGCAACTGTGCCTTTTTTTTTTTTGTGTGTGTGTGTGTGCGTGCTCCTCTGTGCGCGTGTGTGTGTGTGTGTGTGTGTGTGTGTGTGTGTGTGTGTGTGTGTGTGTTTCATATTAAAAAAATCCTTAAACCACTAGTAAAGCACACGAGCCTATCCCTACTAGGTTCCCCCGAGTCTTAATGAAAAAAATTAAAAAAATAAAAAAATAAAAAATCATAAAAAATCATACGAGCCTAAGTTGACAATTGAAAACTACCACCTTCCTAAGTCTGGCGAGCCTTTTCTTCCAAGTGGGGACTGCCGCTTTGGCTACCGGCCTACCTTCTTCCCCCGAATACAACKTACGGTCATTACAGCTGTATCGAGACTGAAAGATGCCTCAAATACAGCTACAATGACCGTTCGTTGTATTCGGGGGAAGACGGTAGGCTCGAAACCAAGTGCTCTTAACACGTATAGGTTGGTCTGAACTGGCGGTTTAACAGCTAATTTTTTTCCCCCCCCYCATTCAAAACGTTCGTTTTGATTTGAAAAAGGACTCCCCCCCCCCCCCTCTCTCTTTCCGCAAATGGTGTTCTATTTGAGAATTGATAATTATGTGAGTATTATCACGTGACTATATATGGCTCGTATCATGAGCGGCGTCTCGTTCAGCACGACTACCTAATTAAGGCGCGCGAACGAGAGAACCAGCAATCAGAGAATCAGGGAAAAGCATCTTCTCCTCTCTGACTCAGTGCAAACTACCGGTAGTCTCTCGGAGTGATTGCAGGTTAATGCAGTATGCCAAATTGGATGACGACAACACGCACCCATGCATGCATGTCGCGATCAAGCCAAATTGGATGACGACAACACGGTTGTTGATGCTTTCAAACGTGATGGCTTGATCGGGACATGCATGCATGGGTGCGTGTTGTCGTCATCAAAGGGACGTTAAAACTTGAAAGCATAGCAAAGCGAAACGAAGAATCCACCTTCCACCTTCCCGCGGCCGCCCCTCCCCCCCCCAAAAAAAAACGAAAGCAAAAGAAGCAAATCTAAGACAAGTTAAAAAAGCATTCCACGCATGAATCGAGAAATGGTCCAAATTTTTGTTCGGGAAGTCAAAAAAAAAAAAAACAAGAGAAACGTGAAATGAAAAGAATAATGTGTACGGAAGGGGGGAGAAAAGAAGACTCCTGTTTTTAATGACGGGCCAGAATAAAGGGGCAACATAACCAGGGGGTTTACAGCGGACTGTTTTGTCAGATTCCAACCGACGTATGAGGAGAGGCGAAGCAGTGCCAATCACCAGAATCCTTGACCTACCTACCTATGGCTTTTTTATATATATATTGTCACATTGTGAATCAGAGCGCAAAAAAGGGGAAAGAAAATATATCTACAGATGCCTTTTTAACTTTAAGGATGTACGAATGTCTTAAGCAATACATAATGTGCCTTGGAAAAGAAAAAAGAAAAAAACCAATGCCTTGATAACAGTTGCAGTTGGGGCTAGCCGTCAAACACCGGCTGCGGACAACTCATACAAGCCATCTGTTTTTCAAAAAAATGCTTTATCCTCCTGCATTCTGTTTATCAACACTGCCATGTGTGTACCATTCAGCAATTCTGGGCAGGTACATAACATGCAAGCCATCTGAGATGGGCATGGGTACCCACCTACCCTCTTCTAATCTCGTGAGATAAGGTACCCCAAAATGAGGCTCGCGCGCCCTTGTGCATCAAGAGTCCAAGTCCTCCTCCTTCCCCCCACTCCCCC